AGGATAAACAGAAGCTGTTCGGCTAACTACGACGGTAACCATGAGGAAGACGCTTTCTCTCATAGCAACCGCGACGGAACCGCCGGTTGCCGGATACATGTGTCGTAAAATATTTGTAGTTTTACGTGGGGTTAAATGTAGTCGTTTGTATTGCTTTTGACATGCGAGTTTCAAAAAGGAAAATGATTGGTTTGTTTCTTGGAAGTAAACGAAATGATTATAACCTTAAATGGAATTATTTTTCGTTATTTTATGCCATGTCTTTCAAGCCTTCTAAAACGTAAAAAAAGCTAAGAACACAACTGACTTTTATCAGTCAATTTGATTATATTTTATGGAGGACGAAACCTGCAAAAACAATAAATAAATAAATACACAAATAAATAAATAAATATGCAAATAAATAAATAAATGTGTGTATAAATACACAAATTCTTGTTTAAATACATATAGAAATAATTAAACATGTGATTAAAGTAGGCAAATAAATAAAATAAATTGGTGGGCAAATGGAAAATGTTTAAGGAAATGCTAAACTCATCCTATTTATTTTCCTTTGATCACTCATTTATTTCTGAATGTAGTTCCGCATGTATTTTTCCTCTGCACAACATGCTAATGAGAGGGAGTCAACCATGGACCTGCTCGGGTCATGTGATAGCTGGGGGCGTGGCTTTCCCGCTGACAGGAGATGCATAAACGCGTAAACGCCAGCCATGACCCGGATGTAGTAGTAAATCACGTGGCCAGAGGTGAAGCACATTGTTCCGCGGCATGTTTCATATTTATGTTGAATGAGAAGAAAGTTGTTGTTTTTTTGCACAGTTGATATTTCCTATTTTTAACTGGAACGATCTTGCGCGCATTGTATCTGGAGAAAGTATGTAATATTTGCACAAATCGTTTATTTAATTGGCGATGTACTACTGTACCTGATACTATTACTGTTGGAATACTGTCAGAATGAGGCTTTATCGACATAATATTTATGTTTTTAAAGCTAAACATAGTTTTATGTGAAATATTAATCTCTTTTTTGGTTGTTACCAGGATAAATACTTCACCAATTGAGGACTTTTCCGTTTAGAGTTCAGTTCGTGTGTAAATGGCTGGAATTCTGTTCGAGGATATCTTTGATGTGAAGGATATTGATCCAGATGGGAAAAAGTTTGATCGAGGTCAGAGGATTTTTAGTCAATTCACATGTATATATATATATATATTGAAATACTATTTATATAATAACATGCATTAAAAGGCATAAAAATACTTATAATACTTAATATCATATTAATAAAATATTGAAAAAAATGTATTTTATCTTTTTAGCTTGTTTTGTATATCCATTATTGGAGTATTTTTACATTACATTAAATTATATCTTTTTTAAATACATTAAATAAAATGAAAACTTAAAACAAGACAAAGTAAAAGTTTAAATAATGAAAACTAATAGATTTAAACAAGCTTTTATTTTTTTTTATTTGACTAATCCATGCTTTTTTTAATGTAAACGTGTTACTATGTAAAAACTACTTGAATAAGAAATATTGGGGGGGGGGCAGTGATTCTTTTTATTGTAATCTTTTAATAATTTAGTTTTTCAGTATCCATTATTAAAGTGGAATTTACATATTAATAAGTGTGTTCTTTAAACACATTAAAATACATTACTAACATTCAAACATTTTTGAAAATTAAGGTTAAATAGTGGATTAGTTTTAATAATATTTAGTAATGTTTTTTTTTAATGTAAATGCTACTTTGAGAATGGATATTAAGTAAAAGAAAAAAGAAAAAATCTTATGAAACCACAATAAAGGCTTTTGTGCGGGAAGCCCCGTGATAGAAACGTATTTTAAAATGACTGATAGGATATAGCATGACCAAGAAATATCTCTCAGTTAGTTTATTCGAAGTCATTATTGCCTTATTAATCATTTTGCTTTCTGTTCAAATAAATTCAGGAAAAGAATCAGAAATTCTACGTCAGAAATTCTAACTATATTTGCTTTGTTGTTATTAGTATCTCGTCTTCACTGTGAAAGTGAGTCTTTCAAAATGGACCTGATCCTTGACGTGAACATCCAGATTTATCCTGTTGATCTCGGTAAATGATCGTTTTGCTCTTCAGCGTTGTTGTTGTTGTTGTTGTTGTTGTTGTTGTTGTTGTTGTTGTTGTTGTAGTATTGAAATGTTATCATCCTCATGATGGCGTCAGGTGACAAGTTCAGACTGGTGATCGCCAGCACGCTGTTTGAGGACGGGACGCCGGATGATGGGGAATACAACCCTCAGGATGACAGACCGTCCAGGTAACACAACAAAATATATATATAACCATAAAATAAATTATAAATAATAATGCAATGCAAAACTTTCAGATGTACAAAATATTCAGCAGCACAACTGTTTTCAACATTTGATAATGATAAGAAATGTTTTTGAGCAGCATATTAGAATGATTTGAGATCATGTGACACTGAAGACTGGAGTAATGATGTTGAAAATTCAGCTTTGATCACAGAAATAAATTACATTTTGCAATACATTCACATAGAAAACCGCTATTTTAAATCATGATTTATGCTCTTTGTTGTTCTTTTGCAGGGCTGATCAGTTTGATTATGTCATGTATGGAAAGGTTTATAGGATTGAAGGAGATGAAACCTCAACAGAAGCGGCAACACGACTGTGAGATTCATTTTTTCTTTTTTATGTATATTCATTTATATATTTACTTATTTATTTGCTTGCTTTAACATTTCTAAATACATGCAAATTTGACATTATTCATTCATTTTTATTTTTATTTATGGGTGCCTTTCATGACACTCAAGGTCACCTTACAAAATCTTCCTATAACATCAATGTAACAACAGCAAACAAGGCAAACTACAAAATACAATAAAACAGCGATTTAAAAGAGTTTGAAGACTGTCGCTGTTACAGATGTCCTGGGGAAGGGCATTCCACAAATGAGGGGCAATGTAACTAAAAGCCCTGGACCCCATACTTCTCAGACGAACACGTGGTTGTTCAGCTTGACAGAGAAGATGAAGGAAATACCGAGTTAGGCATGGAGGACATGTAGAGCTGGCTGTTGTTGGCATAGCAATGACAATTAATTCCAAACTCCCTAAAAATGTGTCCAACAGGCAGTAAATAAATAATGAATAAAAGAGGCCCCAAGACTGAGCCTTGCGGAACACCATCAGTAACAGGCGACAGCTCAGATCTGAAGTTTTTAAGTCGTACAAACTGAGTGCGACCAGAAAGATATGATCTAAACCAAGACAGACAGTCTTGTCTAAATCTAAATCTAAAATGTTGCCTGGAGAATATTATATATCAGAGACATAGATGCAAACTCCTCAACTTTAGGTGACAACTCACTTTTTTGAGATCAAAATAGGTCACCTATGAGATTTGCTTAGATCCGATGAGAAAGTGTAAATTACAAGGGTAAATAAAGAACTGGGGCTGGCTGCAGACTGGTCATAACTTTTTATATTCAGTTATGAAAAGGTAGACTGGTCTTATATATGTATTGGAAAAGTAAGACTGATAACCACTTGGCAACTGCTAGTAAGTTTTGTATAGCATTTTCTTTACTCTTTACTAAACTATGTCTAAAAAGGGTAATATTTTATGTATTTTGAGGTCTGAGATGTGGGAACTGAAGAGAGAGAGGGCAAACATTTTGCATTTTAGGTCAGCATTGCCGTCTAATCAGCCAACATTGTCTTAAATATACTGCATAGCACTTCATCTTTTATAACATGGGATTTTGACCAAATATATTCAATCTTGATTTTTGTAAAAAAAAAAAAAGTAACGTAAAAAGTAAAGTAACTACAAAAGAGCATGCAAAACAAACATCTTTAAAAAAAAAAATCCCATGTGGAGCATGCCCCCGGTTCTCACCTTCCCCCCTTTTACCTGTTTGCATCTCTGCAAAGAATTTTTAATTTGTGATTTTCAGATGTAAAAAAAAAAAGTGATGGAAATTAATAAAATCTAAAGACATGGGAATTTCAATAGTTCTACATTTATTTTAAATACATGTTTTGAATGTGAAATGATTTATTTTCTAATATAATCACTGTTTCTAAACTGATTTGTGTATTTGTGTTTCTGCACAGATCTGCATACGTGTCTTATGGAGGTCTGCTAATGCGACTTCAGGGAGATGCTAATAATCTGCATGGTTTTGAAGTGGACTCCAGGGTCTATCTACTGACGAAGAAACTTGCTTTCTGATCGCTTCTAAGGACTGAGAAATCATGTGAATTTTTATTATTGTTATCAATTTTGTTTTTTCCTTTTTTACCTTTGAGGCGTTCCTGTTGTGGAAACTGATTTGGAAACTAGCCCATGGTAAATGACGTGAAAAAAAATATATGTGGTTTTATATTCAAATCATACGAATGCTCGGTTGATAAACTGCTTTCTCATTGCATCTAGTGCATGTGCACTACTTTGGCCAACCGTATTGATTGAATCCCTGTTGAATCACATTAATGACAACAGATACATGTCTTATTTTGTATGTTTCATTTCTTTTAAACCGTTTATCAGTAAATGAGAAATTGTGTTTACTAGTAATAAGCTCCGGAGGCATATCTTAAGTCTGAAATACTCTCTCTAAGATGAGGGGAGATAGTAAATGAGACTTGGGGAAAGATTCCTATGCATGGCATATAATAATTTCATCCTGTGGGCCGTGTGAATATAAGCAAATACAAGAAAATAACGGACTAAGCAAAGATTGCATCCCAACATAAATGGGAATCCAGTTTAATCTGATTTAAACTACATGAACGCGGCAGTGTGAGGACTGTAATGGAAATCACAAGACGGCTCAATGGCACAAGTCTGCAGTCCGATGAGGGGCCTGAATGTAATATTTAACCCCCGATTATCTCTATACTGTCACATATGAAAGAATTTTACATTATAGTTCAAAATATTAGGCACGTTTTTTGAATGGTAAACAAAAACTCATAAATCAGGGCATTCTTTTTTCATCCTTTTTTTGTAACCGATAAGGGAAAAATTCTTATGGAAACTTGTTTCCGCCACTGAATAAAAAATATTTTAAAAAAGGTAATTGCGACTTTCTATCTCATAATTCTGACTTTATCTTGCAATTCGGACTTTTTCAAAAATTAGTCAAACGTGTCCCCCCCCCCCCCAAAACG